AAAAAGATATATATCCAAAAAGACAAGGCCTTAAAGGGTTAAACTCTTGTCACTGTAACAGACACAATCTCTCTCACACACACACACACACATACGTCAAGTCACTTACATTTTAGATGCAATATTGACTTTTTTTCAGTTTTAGCAGCGAAAATAGTTAAATAAAGATCACAGCAGAACCATCGAGCATCTCACAGCAACGTGTTTTCTCATTACTGAATGATTCAGCATTTTGAACGAATCGGTTGACTCAAAGATTCAATGAACAAACCATAATCTGTCTCATTCATGAATGACTCAGCCGTTCGAACGAATTGTTTGAACGAATTAATCAATGACTCGCTCATTAAGACGGTCGCCTGGCGACACCTAATGACGGTTTAGTGTTATGTTTAAAAGTATCATTCTTTCCAAAGATTTTTAATTGACTTATATTTAAAACAATCTCATAACATTATTTAATGCATTGTTATTTTTCAGTGTAAACGATTTAATTTGATCAGCCCTAACTAGGGTAAAAGCCATATAGTGTCTTATTATTCTAAATAATTGAATTTATTGATCAAATTTACAAATTAAAAATGAAAGATGAAGCATACATTTAATAAGACTGGACTGGGGTGCCCTGCATATATTACAATATGCAGATTTAAATATACCATTGCCCCCCACCGTCAATTTGATGTCTGTGTTTGTGTGTGTGTGTGTGTGTGTGTGTTTAATAAAATCATTTAGTCACTACAATTAAAACCTGAACGTGTTTGCTTACTAAATTGTGAGCTGAACGAAAGTTGCAGCAAAGATCAGCAACCGGAGTCAAATTTCATTAATCACGAGTTGAGAGTGAGTGTCTCTCTCTGCTGTGTTATGCTGTATCACACGGGCATTCATAACGCTGCGCGTCCACGACGATGAGCGAGCAGAACAGAGTGAACGTTTTTTAGTTCATTGCTACTTCCATAGGAATTCCCTCGAGCGCTCTGCACGCGCCACCATTATCAATGTCCGTGTGGACGTCCGCGATCGAACAGTGGAAACATTGGCTACTCCGTCATTTTATTCAAGAAGATCATTCAAACTGCAAAGTGTTTTATGTACTGAGTTGATATCATTTTGGACACAAGAGGGCAGTATAGCCCTATGTTTTACTTGATGTATTTATTTTTTAACTGAATATCGCATTCTGGCTGTTTTTAAACTTGTACATTATTCTTAAATTGAAAACAAGAATAAAATGGGTTTAGTTCTGATATTTGTATAATTTTATCTAGAAATAAATGGTGTATAATTAATCAGTCCTTCCAGAAAAACGCCGAGTTTTTTTGTGATTGTTGCGGGCAAAAATCCTTGATTACGCGGCCCGTTTTCTTTAAAAATGTGATGGAATATGCGGGATATTTATGCAATTTTTTGCGATAAAATTGCGGGAACTTGCAAAAATTGCGGGAACTTGCAAAAATTGCGGGAACTTGCAAAAATTGCGGGAACTTGCAAAAACTGCGGTTTGATGAAAAAGAGGGAAAAAAAGTGATCTCCCCAACACCCTGTTCTCACTAGGCTACTACCTTAATGTAAAGAGTCCGTTCTTATTACTTCCTTTGATAAGCAAGCATACTACATCACAGAAAGTTCTGGAAATATTTAATTTCTCATCTTGTTTTATTTCAGACTGTATCGAGTGGAAATAAGGTGTGGCCCCTTTAAGAGTTGCGCGCTCCCTGTCTAACTGTCTGCAGTATTATATTGTATGTGCCATGCGCCTCGAACACCCCATGTGTGCGGGTAATTTCTGTTTGATGCTACTTCTTTTATCTTATTTTGTTTATTAAGTAACGATGTGGACGGTAGAACGTGTGACAGACAGTTACGAGTTCGATTTGGGAATAAAGTGCGAGTTGTGAGATGCCAATCGCCTCCGTGAGTCTGTCTGGCCTCTGCAATAACTTCAGCTGTGAGCTATCCCTATTTTTCCTCAAACATCAAACTTACAAAACATTGATGAGTCAAACAAGTTCTGTAGCTTTACTAGAGGAATATGCTACAACTTCAGTAAAAATGAATAAATAAAATATTTTAAAATAAAGTGTGCTCCTGTTTTACAGCTTTTCAATGATGTTCACGTCGCGTAATTACGTCACTTCATAACGTTCCCATGGCAACAGACAGGGGGAAGTGGCTGCTCTTGTGTGAAGCAAACGCAACATTTTCCAACTTTCTGCTAAGATATATGTGACTTTTTTGCGACGAAAATGCGGGGATTATGAAATCATGCAAGCCCCGCATATTTTGCGCGGAAATCAGCAATTTATGCGGCGAAATTGCGGAGTATTTGAAAAAATGCGACCCTCGCATAAATATGCGGACTTTGGCTGATTTTGCATTGAATTCAGCGATCGCATAATCGCGTTTTTCTGGAGGGACTGATTAATTTTATAGAAGATATGAGGCTTTTAGTGTTTACTTTTTTGACATGACTTTAATCCCTCGCCATAGCAAAACAATTTGAGATATTCAATAGCCATTCACAATTTAGCTTCTTTAATGTATTTTCATCATGTTGAAAAAGTTTGTTGGGAATTAAATAAACCACTTAAGAGGAGTGGGTAAAAAAATCAGAGGCTGATTTTGCCAAAAATCCACATTCAGACCAAAATATCTGACTTCCTGTTGATCCGAGCTAATGACTGTCAATTAGAAAGTTGTCCGGCTCGAAGAGTACAATATACATATCGAGTTTTGTTACTGTAGATAAAACTAACCCCCCCACTTTTGTCAAAAGCATTTAGAAAGTGACACACTTCCTGCTGCCAGTTGGTGGCGCCATAACGTTGACTCACAATAGTTACATCTATCTGATCGACCTCTTACCACGAACACACTGCTGAAGTTTCATCAAGATCAGCTAATGTATGCAGAAGTTATAACACTTCGTGTTTCTCTTTTCTCGCCATAAATTCGTTTCCTCGCCACGGCCAAACCGTTCGAGATATCAAAAATCCGTCTGCAATTTAGCATCTTCAATGTGTTGACCTCAAGCTGACCGAGTTTGGCGGTAAACGGATGCAATCTCTAGGAGAAGTACTTCAAATTCCAGAGCAAGCGTTCTCCAAACAACCCATAATAGCCGACTTCCTGTTGGGCTGGCGTAAAACTTGACCGAGGGAAAGTTGTTCGGCCCGATGAGATCTATATGTGTACTGAGTTTCATATTAATTCATGCAAGCGTGTTTGATCTATGGACCAAGTTTTGGGGACCCCGTTCAAGGGGGCGCTGTTGAGCCCCCCTGCCACGCCCGGGTACCAGCTTCAGCCCGGCCCTGATGGCCGTGGGCTCTGACCTGTGTGCAAAGTTTCAAGAGTTTTCAAGCACGTTAAGGGCCCCAAAAGCCCCTGAAACCTTGAACACCATTAAAATAATAGTCAAATTCCTCAAACCCCCCACACACAGAGACAGAGGGAGAGGGAGGGAGAAAATTCTCCTGAAAATCACATTCAAACCAAAATATCTGACTTCGTGTTGTTCGGAGCTAATGACTGTCAATTAGAAAGTTGTCCGGCTCAAGGAGAACAATATACATACCGATTTTTGTTACTGTAGGTAAAACTAATACCCCATTTTTGACTAAAGGTGGCGCTACTGAGCCCCTCACCACGCCCGTTTCTGAAACTTTGCACGTGTCTACTAGCTAATAAATGAGATGTGTCTGTCGAGTTTCATGCAATTTCAAGCATGCTAAGAGTCTCAAAAGCATCAAAAAAGAATATTAAAGTTTGATGCGTTGCCATGGCAACATTATCTTAGATATTAAACAATCCTTTCACAGGTCTACATCTGCCGTGTGTTTACATTATACAGATGAAGTTTGAAGCAAATCGGGTAAAAATAAGAGGGTGATTTCAAAGTATTTTGAAAGTGACACACTTCCTGCTGCCAGTTGGTGGCGCTATAACTTTGACTCACAATAGTCACATCCATGTGATCGGCCTCTTACAGCGAACACACTGCTGAAGTTTCATCAAGGTCAGTTAATGTATGAAGAAGTTATAACACACTTCCTGTTCCCATTATTCGCCATAAATTCGTTTCCTCGCCACGGCCACACCGTTCGAGATATCAAAAATCCCCTGGTAATTTTTCATCCTCAATGTCTTGACTTCATGCACACCGAGTTTGGAGACGAACGGCGGAATTCCCTAGGAGAAGTGTTTCAAATTCCTGAGCATGCGTTTCCAAACAACCCTAAATAGCCGACTTCCTGTTGGGCTGCCGTAAAACTTAGAGCCTGAAAGTTGTTCGGCCCGATGACATCTATATGTGTACCGAGTTTCATATTATTACATGAAAGCGTGTTGGATTTATAGACCCAGTTTTCGGACCGCGTTCCAGGGGGCGCTGTCGAGCCCCCCTGCCACGCCCGGGTACCATCTTCACCCCGACCCTGATGGCCGCGGGTTCTGACCCGTGTGCAAAGTTTCAAGAGTTTTTGAGCACGCTAAGGCCCCCAAAAGTGCCCGAATAGTCGTAAAAATAATAATAATAATAATAATCCTAAGGAAAACAATAGGGCCTTCGCCTTTTCAAGGCTTGGGCCCTAATAAATAATCCTTAGGAAAACAATAGGGCCTTCGCCTTTTCAAGGCTTGGGCCCTAAATAGCAAAAAATAAACACTAAATACTCAAATAAATTACCAAATACCAAATAGTAAACTTAGCAAAATAGTAAATCAATTATTGGATCAAATGAGGCTGTTACACTGAGTTCTGACGAAGAACTAGTTATAGTTTGTGGCGATAAACGATATTTCAACATTTAGTAGCAAGTTTACAAAACTGTATATTCGGTGAGTTACTTCAGTGAGTTACTGTGGATGGAGAGAAATTCTGATTTTTAAATGTGTGTCTACTATCTATTTCAGATGTTCATAACAAAACAACCCATAACACAACCCCCAGTCTGAGCTGAGCTGGCGAGCGTCGTCAGCCTCTGTGAAACGCTTACCTGCTCCAGCTGATGTTCTGCGGCCGCGGGTTCCCCTTCACTGCACACCTGAGCTCTGACCCGACCTGACCCAGCCTCCACGAGCCAGAACCAACAATCTCTGCGTCTGGAGGAACTGACACACACACACACACACACACACCGAACTTTACTTTTACACTACCGCTCAACAGTATAGAATGATTAAGACTGAATGTTTCTGAAAGTCTCTTCTGCTCACCAGCTGTGTTTATATGATCAAAAATACAGTAAAACAGTGTAATATGACTCCAGTGTAAATCAGCTGTTCTCTATGTGAATATACAGTAAAGTGTAATTTATTCCTCTGATCAAAGCTGAATTTTCAGCATCATTACTCCAGTCTTCAGTGTCACATGATCCTTCAGAAATCACTCTAATATGAGGATTTGTATCTGTTATATAAACTGCTTCTATTTGACTTCAGTTTTCGCTACCGGATGTCACTTTCTTTACACAAATGTTTTCTGCCAAAGTCACTCCAGTTAATTGTTGCTATTGTAAAGACGTAATACATTAATATGCGTCTGAAACACGGTTTAAAGGGGTCATATAAATGCACTTTTACAAGTTGATTGTACTGAAATGTGTGTTGGCAGTGCCTGTACACAGCCATCATATAATGATAAAAATCCATCCAGTGTTTTTGTTTTAATCTCCTTATATGTTTTCCCCTGCCTCAAATCAAGCCGTTCGAGCATGTGACGTCACACACTCGGAAGCCCCTCCCACGAGTGTTGATTGACAGCAGCGTTTCAACACAGACCCGCCCTCGCTCGTGAGAGCTGTCAATCATAGTCTGCGCGGACCGGCGCGGTCATTGTTGATATGCTGGAGCACTGTCTATGAGCAGAATGGCGTCTAAGCGATTGTGGTGTTCTGTTCTTGGGTGTAATAACGAACACAGTCATTTTAATGTTCCTAAATCCGAACCGCTGAAGACGCAGTGGCTGAGTTTGTTTTCGAAGGGAATATTCCCCACGAGCAACGTCAATGCTCTCATGTGTGCGCGAATCATTTCTCAGCAGACTGCTTTATAAACGAGGGTCAGTGTAAAGCTGGATTTGCTAAGAAGCAGCTCATGAATAAAGGATCGGTAGCAGATATTCGTGTCCCTGCTGAACCTCCAGAATAACTGAAGTGAGTGTAACGTTTTATTAAACTTTATATTAATATATTAATCTTTGCAAATCGCTAGCTGCACCCTTCACTATGAATGCGTCTAAGGTTTACACTCAGGGTACATTACGGCATGTTTTCTATGTATGACGTTCTCAATATAATTCATAATCCCACGTTTATACTGAACAACGTGTTATGGTTATTGTGTTATTGTGTTACAAATGGTGTACACACAGAACAGAGGGGCGGGGTGAGCAAAGCTCATTATCATTTAAAGTCATATTTTATTTTATTTTATTTTTATTTGTCCCCGAGGGGCGATTAGTTTTGCTGCAGTAGCCAAATAAATTAACATGCAGTACACGACAACATCAACATCAATTCAAATACAGGGTCAGACAGATGAAAAATAAAAATAACACCACAACATTTAACATTTAAGTTATGTGCAGACATTACCTATTCTTTACGGAGTTAAGCAGAGAGATCGCAGAGGGTACGAAGGAGAATTTAAATCTGTTTGTTTTGGCTAGTGGCTGACTGAAGCGAGAACCAGAAGGCAGCACCTTAAATTCTACATACAAGGGATGAGAACTATCAGACATGATATGATAGACTATGATATGACATGACATGACTATATGCACTGAAACGGCGTGCTGAAAACAGAGCTGTTTTTGACCAAGTAAAATAAGTGTTTTCTTACAATACTAATGAGAGTATTGTAAGAAATACTAATACATGTTGCATTTGGGTCTTGTAATTAAAGTATATTACAAACTTTTAATTTAGACCCTAAAGAATCATACTAGCTTGTACAAAAATGGCATTATATGACCCCTTTAAGTACTTCGGCACACTCTCTCACACACTCTCTCACTTACAGTGCACGATGAGTGTGTTGCTGAGTCTGCGTGGGCCGTCGAGCGCCGGGTGCCACACCAGACAGTCGAGCCTCTGGCCGTTCATGCTGCGCAGCGGATGCAGGGAAAACTGCGAGGTCACGACCCCGTCCTCCCCGCTCCGGTTCTGCACCCGCCCGGGAACATCCGTGTCCCAGGACAGCAGCGGCGCGGGGTGTGCGACCGAACGACACGAGGCGGCCGGGCGGAACGACTGTCCTTCCTGCAGGACCACCGGATCCAGAGACGAGATCGGCAGAACTAGAGGACGAGGAACAACAGATGAGGTCAGATCAACGAGCAACAGATGAAGTCAGATCAACGAGCCTTCAGAAATCATCCTAATATGGGGATTTGATGCTCAACAACATTCATTATTATTATCAGTGGGTTTTTTCATGATTCTTTGCTGAATAGAAAGTTCAAAAGAACAGCATTTATTTGAAATAGAATCTTTTGTAACATTATAAATGTCTTTACTGTAACTTTTGATAAATGTAATTCATCCTTGATGAATAAAAGTATTGTTTATTTTGAACGGTAGTTTTTAACGTCACAAAAGCTTCTTATTTTAGAAGATTGCTGTTCTTTTGAACTTTCTATTCATCAAAGAATCCTGAAATAAAAAGTAAATAACTGAGGAGACTGTCTGAGTTATGCATTTCAGAAATGCACATATACAAAATCACAGTTAGCTAGAAATGTACTAATTTAAACAATGTTATAATTAAAGGAAGAAACAATGAGCTCATTGAAGTAATGAATACTTGTTTGTTAAAAACTGATTATGACATATAGAAAAATGTAGCATTAACGCATGTTGATCAGATTAATCAAGTCTCCTTCATTTCTACAGCGCTTTAACGATATAGAGTTTCACAGCAGCTTTACAGTGATAACAGGACATTACAGTAACAGAGAGTGTTTAGGCTTTACAGCAGCTCTAGAGTAAAGTTATTGTCCAGATAAAGTTAGTTTTGATTGATTCACTTCCGTTGTAAAGATCATTAGTTATTAACTTACACGACACCGCTCTACAGAACACAGAAACTGTTAATGTGTTCCGGACGTTCATTCACACCACCACGATCAGATTAATTCGTAAAACACATTTTTACAGCCTAAACCAAGGTTATTTTTAAACTGGGTAGTTCAGAAGATGTTGGTTTTGTATTGTACAGCAGATCAACCGATTAACCTTCCCTTTTTGTCAACAGAAGTGAAATGGAGCTTGTGAGAGTGGAAAGAGGGGCTCTTACTCCAGACGGTCAGGCTGATGTGCGTCTCGAAGTTTCCCGAGGGAAAGGTGGAGATGTGGCAGGTGTATGTGGCCTGATCCGCCTTCTTCGTGTTCAGGATCACCAGCGTCGAGTCGAGGGTCGGGTCAGAGCTCTCGAACCGAACACGCTTCAGGAAATCAGGAGACGCTGGGAGACACAAACGCAGCGTTTCAGGAGGAAGACCATGAACATTACATTCAGTTAAATACAGTATAAGACATAAAACAATCACTATATTGCCCTTAAAGTCTCAACACGTTCACATGCATACAAGTTAAAAAATACGGTAACACTTTACAATAAGGTTCATTATTTAATGTATTAATAACATGAACTAACCATGAGCAATACATTTGTTACCGTATTTATTAATCTTTGATAATGTTAGTTAATAAAAATACAGCTGTTCATTGTTTGTTCATGTTAGTTCACAGTGCATTAACTAAAGTTAACTAACACAACCTTTGATTTAAATAACATTAGTAAATGTTGAAATCAATATTTACTAAGATTAATAAATGCTGAAGTAGTATTGTTCATTCTTAGTTCATGTTAACTAATGTTAACTAATGAACCTTATTGTAAAGTGCTACCAAAAAAAACACTAATGTCCTCATAATCTCCACTGCGACATCGGCTCTTTCCTCTCAGTGTCTGAAACGCTTCGTTTGAAGATTCAGTCTCTCTAAGCCCCGCCTCTCTGAGAGCTGCTCTGCTGTGATTGGTCAGAAAGCAAACGCTCATTATCATATCTGACTCTCAGCTCTTGATCACAGTGATACGCACAGTGACGATGGCGTGGGTTTTAGCGTATCAATCTCAGAAAACAGCGTCTTCTCGACACAAGCCGAACTCTCCCAGTCTCAGATACACTAGTGTTTGAGGGCGGAGCTAAGAGACGCTGCTCAGCCAATCAAGACCACAGACTGGCATTATGCAAATTAGCCACACACCTACGCAGGACTGAATTACTGACGACTCGTTTCAGTTCAGATTCACTTCTTTCTTTTGGGAGACAAAACTCCATTTATCTGCACTCTTATCTTTAAAACTATCATGAAAATGTCAATGTGGTCTAGGATAAAGATTGTGTTTTTTCTTTCCGAAGATTATATAAAATAAACAAATGTTGGCCTTTTTTATTCAATTCTGCTTCTGCTTCTTTTATTAGTTTTGTTATCATTATTTGTCATAACAAATTACCTTTTGGTAAATGTCAATGTAATGTGACTCCATTAAAACCAATCAAATCTATTGAGTTCCGCTCTTATGTCATTTGATAATATTCATATTCATTGATATTCAACATAATTCATGTGTGAGAGTCTAACAGAAGGACAGACAAAACCAGTCAAATATCCACTGATCTGAGATCGCTGAGTTCTGCTCATGTTTTATTACCAATTTCTAAACTATAGCCAATAAACTGATAATGTGAGAAATGTTGAAGGAGTCCGCATAAATGTTGTTTTGACTGTGTTCAATCCCAAGAACCTGTAAAATTGTCAACATTAACTCACCCGAATTTCATTTCCAAACCAGAGTATTATATTTAACAAAAAAAAATACTAAAATCGCACCGTTCCAAAGCAACTGCTTCTCTCAGCTCAAGCTTTACAGTGAATAACATGTTACGTTTGGGTCTGTTCTTCACACAAAAGATCATATGACTTCAGAAGACGTGGAATAGAGTTCATTAGTTATATTGACTACTGTCTGTTATCATTCACTGCCATTGTATGCAAAAATGAGCACCTTTAGTCAACACAATACACCATTGAAAATATCCGTCATGACAAACGTCTCTAGGTGACACACACACGTCACAACACACACGAGTGTTTCCATCGGGCACTGACAGAACTGCTGCGGGGAGATGATGCTTGTGTGTGTTTCGCTTCTTTGAAAGAGAGGTGATTTAATGATGGATCACCAGAACGCATGTCCACGTCACACACTCTACTGAGAGAACACACTGAAGTTGCCTTGGCTTTTGGCTTGCTTAGTTGGGGACGTTTAATATTCAACTATATTATTGATCTGCCTTACTTAAGGTGGCGGTGAAGCAATTTTCTTCTAGAAACAAACTTTGTTGTATTATTTTCATGTTATCACTGTGAAGCTGCTTTGATACAATCTGTATTGTAAAAAGCGCTATATAAATAAAGGCGACTTGTCTTGAAGCCTGTTGTGAGGAATGAGGACTATTAAGATTGTTAGCATTGTGAAATATGACCCAGAAATGTGACTCACTCAATTAGTTTAGTCTTTATGAATGGGGCAAACACACGCTCGCTCACTCAAACATTCACTCTTAAGATTATTAAAATGGTTCGGTAACACTATTTTACAGTGTCCTTTTTACATGTACCATAGTAATAACAGTAAATATGAATAATTACATGCAAATAAACCTCAATCTAACCCTAATCCTACTCTAACCCTATAGTAAGTACATGTAGTTGCTTAATATTACTCAGTACTTAAATATATAATTACACTGTAACAACGAGACCTTAAGATAAAGTGTAACCGATGGTTCTTTTATTATCTGGGTCTTTGGGGCTCTTCTGTGAAATCACTGCAGAAACACTGGGAAGCTATACTTTTAATAGTGTAGCACACTCTCACACACTCTCACACACTCTCACACACTCTCACACACTCTCACACACTCTCACACACTCTCACACACTCTCACACACTCTCACACACTCTCACACACACTCTCACACACACACTCTCACACACTCTCACACACTCTCACACACTCTCACACACACACACACACACACTCACACACACACACTCACACACTCTCTCACACACACTCACACACTCTCACACACTCTCACACACTCTCACACACTCTCACACACTCTCACACACTCTCACACACTCACACACACTCTCACACACTCTCACACACTCTCACACACTCTCACACACTCTCACACACTCTCACACACTCTCACACACACTCTCACACACACACTCTCACACACTCTCACACACTCTCACACTCTCACACACACACACTCACACACACACACACACACTCACACACTCTCTCACACACACTCTCACACACTCTCACACACTCTCACACACTCTCACACACTCTCACACACTCTCACACACTCTCACACTCTCTCACACACTCTCTCACACACTCTCTCACACACTCTCTCACACACTCTCTCACACACTCTCTCACACACTCTCTCACACACACTCACACACACACTCACACACACTCTCACACACTCTCACACACTCTCACACACTCTCACACTCTCTCACACACTCTCTCACACACTCTCTCACACACTCTCTCACACACACTCACACACACTCTCACACACTCTCACACACTCTCACACACTCTCACACACTCTCACACACTCTCACACACTCTCACACACTCTCACACACTCACTCACTCTCACACACTCACTCACTCTCACACACTCTCACACACTCTCACACACACTCTCACACACTCACTCACTCTCACACACTCACTCACTCTCACACACTCACTCACTCTCACACACTCACTCACTCTCACACTCTCACACACTCACTCACACACTCACTCACACACACTCACTCTCACACACACTCTCACACACACACTCACACACACTCTCACACACACTCTCACACACACTCTCACACACTCTCACACACTCTCACACACTCACTCTCACACACTCACTCTCACACACTCACTCTCACACACTCACTCTCACACACTCACTCTCACACACTCACTCTCACACACTCACACACTCACATACACTCACACTCTCACACACACTCTCACACACACTCACTCTCACACTCACTCTCACACACTCACTCTCACACACTCACTCTCACACACTCACACACTCACTCTCACACACACACACACACTCACATACACTCACACTCTCACACACACTCTCACACACACTCTCACACACACTCTCACACACACTCTCACACACACTCTCACACACACTCTCACACACACTCTCACACACACTCTCACACACACTCTCACACACACTCTCACACACACTCTCACACACACTCTCACACACTCTCTCTCACACACTCTCTCTCACACACTCTCTCTCACACACTCTCTCTCACACACTCTCTCTCACACACTCTCTCTCACACACTCTCTCTCACACACTCTCTCTCACACACTCTCTCTCACACACTCTCTCTCACACACTCTCTCTCACACACTCTCTCTCACACACTCTCTCTCACACACTCTCTCTCACACACTCTCTCTCACACACTCTCTCTCACACACTCTCTCTCACACACTCTCTCTCACACACTCTCTCTCACACACTCTCTCTCACACACTCTCTCTCACACACTCTCTCTCACACACTCTCTCTCACACACTCTCTCTCACACACTCTCTCTCACACACTCTCTCTCACACTCTCTCTCTCACACACTCTCTCTCTCACACACACTCACACACTCACATTATCTGGGTCTTTGGATTAATAGTGTAGTTGATTGTTCTACAAAAAGTTGCTTCAGTGTAAGTGTTTTAAGGGATTCACTCGACTAGTTCATGTCTTTACCTTTAGGTCCTTCAGTAAAGTGTCCTGTAATGATCTGTTCTCGTTCTCCTCCGGGTTTCTGTCTGGACCAGGTCACTTGCACCACCTTCTCGTCTCCCTCCACCTCGAACCGACAGGGAAGCCGAGTCTGTGTGTCGGAGAACGAGCGCTGGGACGCCGGCGGATCGAGGAACTCACTGCGAACACACACTGAGAAATAAAGAGTCAGTGTGAGATCCGTGAAATCACTGCAAACACACACTGAGAAATAAAGAGTCAGTGTGAACATCTGCAAACATCTCTGACTGGGTTCAGTGTTCGAGACGAGGTCAGTGTGTGAGAGTTAATAATAAACCCGCACTATCATGATCCATTGCTCTTGCCCCGACAAACACGTCACAAAAACACAAGGACGTTCCCATGCCGAACAATGACAGTCAGAAATAAGCCCAAAACCATCAATTCATCAATTCAAACCACATTCCATATGGTTAGTTTTTGACATGTTTAATCAGTGTTAGGGTGTAAATTCATTTGTCAGTATGCATGCATTTAACGTGTTGTATCATATTTGATTTATCAGGCTTTTATGGCTCATAAAGGTCTGATATAGTGAGATTATGGAGGAAACAACAGCTACATTTTATTATTAGAGACTCAAACTGAGCAAAAATATGCAATTTGCTGCAGATGCTGATATGTATATGAGATTCTGATGCTTGTAATATAAATCAGTGAGATCGTTATAACAGTACAGCAGATATTTACATTAAATGCATATGAATATCAGCATTTGCACCAAATTGCATATTTTTGCTCAGTTTGAGTCTATAAATCATAAAACTAAGCATTTAAATATCATCTCACTAAGAAATATTATTGGCAGATATTGATATTTGTATATGAGATTCTGATGCTTGTAATATAAATCAATGAGATCTTTATAACAGTATAATATACTTACATAAATGCATATAAATATCAATTATCTGCCAATAATATATTTAAATGCTTAGTTTTGTGATCAAATCTCTGTAGTTTTAAAATGTATAATGCAATGCAACACAATGATGATTGACAGATGAACAAATGAAAGTTCCTCAAAAGCCTGACGATCATATTTGATACTCATGATGTTTCTATAAAATGATGATAGATAACCAATTAAATTAAAGTTGAAATATTACTGACAATATCAAAGTTATTCGTTCGTTTCCTTGATAAAACCAGCTCAGATTTGACACAGAAAGACTTGAGCTGGAGGACGTTTGTACAGTTATTATAACAGACTTTTACTTGATAAAAGAGTGTGAACTCAGTCAGAGACAGAAGGACTGAGGAGATCGAGTGCAACAGGTTTACCAGATCATGTTGATGTTTATGATCAGATGTGTGTACAGTAGGCGTTACAGAGGACATTGAGTCTCGAGTAAAGCTGCATTACACTCAGGAGGCTCCATGATTTCTCAGTCAGGTTTAATTTACACATCAACACCTTCTCAGATATTGCTCATAAAAGTGAATCAAAACACACTCAAGCGAGCCACTCGTTCTCCTGCAGTAAATAATGAAGTGGAGCGCCGGAGAAATGTTCAACTTCAGCAGATCTGAGCAGAGATTGAGACACACTTGAGATCTCTTATAAAGCGTTTATACTCAGTCTGTGCCGTGTTAATCACTCTATACACCGTAGGTTTGATTAGAAGGATATTTCTGCTGATTTTGCACTATTTTGGAAGTGTGTTGGATCTCCACTTCATGTTTAATGTAAAATCATCTTGAAGCAAAACCAGCACACACTTGCATTTCAAAGTGAGAGAACGAGACTGAAAGCAGAAGAAAGTGAGACAGAGAGAGAGAGACAGAGAGAGAGAGAGAGAGAGAGAGAGAGAGAGAGAGAGAGAGAGAGAGAGAGAGAGAGAGAGAGAGAGAGAGAGAGAGAGAGAGAGAGAGAGAGAGAGAGAGAGAGAGAGAGAGAGAGAATGACATCTTGCAGTTCGGTTATTGTTTGTCTTCGTCACAGACACACTGAACACAAACACTGAACACAAACACTGAACACACACACACTGAACACAAACACACTGACACGCCACTCGTTTAAAATAACAATACATACCTTTACCTTCACACACAGGTTTGTTTTGCTACACTTGTGAGGACCTTCATAGGCGTAATGGTTTTTATACTGTACAAACTGTATATTCTCACCTCTAACACTAACCCTACCCATCACACACACACACACACACACACACTAACCCGACCCCTAAACCCTGCCATCACACACACACACACACACACACACACACACACACACTGACTAACCCGACCCCTAAACCTAGCCATCACACACACACACACACACACACACACACACACACACACACACACACACACACACACACACACACACACACACACTAACCCGACCCCTAAACCTACCCTTCTCACACACACACACACACACACACACACACACACACACACACACACACACACACACACACACACACACTAACCCGACCCCTAAACCTACCCATCTCACACACACACACTAACCCAACCCCTAAACCTACCCATCACACACACACACACACACACTAACCTGACCCCTAAACCTACCCATCACACACACACACACACACACACACTAACCCGACCCCTAAACCTACCCATCACACACACACACACACACACACACACACACTAACCCGACCCCTAAACCTACACACACACACACACACACACACACACACACTTTGGTCTGTATTTTCACTCAGAGCATCACATCAGAGAACGCTCATCGTTAAACTCATTTAAGAATAATTTTTAAGAAATGGCTTCATAATCAACAATGTGAACATTATTACTGCTTCCTCTATTATTACTATTAACAATTTCATTATAATTAGTATTATTTAACTCATAACAACTCACTTTTTTATTATTATTGTGTACATATATATATAGTTTTTTTGTATTATATGTTTAATTGTATTTTACAATTTGTTGTTGATTAATGTACACTGTCCCTTTTCTAAATAAATAAATAAAACACACACACACCCATTCTCTCACTCACTCACACACTCTCTATCTATCTATCTATCTATCTATCTATCTATCTATCTATCTATCTATCTATCTATCTATCTATCTATCTATCTATCTATCTCTCTCTCTCTCTCTCTCTCTCTCTCTCTCTCTCTCTCTCTCTCTCTCTCTCTCTCTCTCTCTCTCTCTCTCTCTCTCTCTCTCTCTCTCTCACACACACACACACACATTTCTGCACATATTTCCTCCACGACAGTCATAAATCAGTGAGTAATGGTTTTTGAGGCTGGTTGAACTTTAATGATTGAAGAATGTCACTGCACCACATAGCAATTGAATCAACCATACACACACACACCGAAACACAACTTATGGACTCCCTGCTGAAAAAACAACCGCTAAAACACAACTATGTGTGTGACTGGTTTTACAGTATTTATTAAACTTTAAAACCGTTGATTAATAAACACAACGGTCATGTCAATCAACGCATTAACTAATGTTAACAGATAAAACTTTTCATTTCAACAATACATTAGTAAATTAACATAAACTTATTACTAAATATTAGCAATGTACTATAATGTTAACAAAAAATATATAGTAAAGTGTTACCGTAATTTACAAATATAGCTATAACCGAACTGACTGACTAACACACACTCGGGTCCTCAGCAGTTGTTGAGTGTTTGTCTTACCCATCAAGACCATCACAGCGATGAAGTTCAGGAGATTCGTCATGTTTCTGCTTTATTCTGTCAGTGTATTTCTCTGTTATTCCTCCTCATGTTCTCACGCGCTTTTCTGTTCATCCGTCTTAAACCGTGTTCTCAAGACCCGACATTTGTCAGCATTTAAAGGAATAAAAAAACAATAGAAGCTGAGTTTCTAGAGGAAGATCCAGAGGCTGATAAACTCATGATTAAACTCTGTTTGAAGTCTGTGTTCAGGTAAGGGTTCGCACACACCTGCGTGTTCACGCGGGCTCCACCCACCGCCGGGCACGCGCACGTGCGCGCACACTCCCTCTCGCTCTTACTGACCTTTGGTTTGTGCACTAAACTATAAACTATAAACTTAAAAGTTTCCTCTTGAAATCAGAACTCTCTGTGGGGGATTTGAAGTGAATACCAGAAAACTCTTCTCTCTGAATCTGTTAGAGCGGAAGTGAAGTTTGAGGAATTCGTGGCTTTTGTTTGGTTTGGTGTTTTGTAAAGTAGAAATGAACAGGACAAACCAGTTCAGGAGAAAAATTCTTTACATTTAATGAACACCCACAATCAGGCAAATTATTTAAACCCTAATCTAGAGAGATATACAAAGCTTTTTTTACTTTATAGTAAAATATTTAATAGCATTGGTATTATTATTGTTATTATTTCATAAGTAATTTGTAATTTATTTATTTATTTGATCATTAACATCATCTAAATACATTTAAATTACGTATATTTTTGCAGGAGTTATTTGTGTTCTTCTAATTTGATTGGTCACATGGTGTATCAAAGCTGATTGAAATATTTGTTAGTTTTGACCAGGAGCCAGTTAATTATTTAGTTTATTTCCCAATAAACATTTCCCAACTGGTTTATTGCGACACCTGCTGGTCAACTGTATATTTAAAATAGAAATGAGAAGAGCTCAAGCATCAACTAGAACAGGGAGGGATTTAAGAAAGTATTTTATTTAAATTAGAAATAAGAATATTTTTTACTCATACATTAACAAGAAAAATGACTGGACACTGTTCAAGTTAAAAAATATAACTTTACTATGTTAATTGGCATTGAGAGCCGTACACACACATTGTACTGATTAACAACATCAAACAATGACAACAGAGAAGAACTGGATGTTAACGAAGCTCAATTATGTAGAAAGCATGTGGGTGTTCTCATGCCAGAGGCTTCTTCTTCATCCCACCAAGAGTGTCGTATGTGTCCTGATCATGACGGCCCAGATCCTGAGGAACAACACACACTGATCAGACCACAGTCATTCACTCATCAGACTCTCTGACGGTCATAAATCATAATCAGACTACAGTCATTCACTCATCAGACTCTCTGACGGTCATAAATCATAATCAGACCACAGTCATTCACTCATCAGACTCTGTGACGTTCATAAATCATAATCAGACCACAGTCATTCACTCATCAGACTCTCTGACGGTCATAAATCATAATCAGACTACAGTCATTCACTCATCAGACTCTCTGACGGTCATAAATCATAATCAGACCACAGTCATTTACTCATCAGACTCTCTGACGTTCATAAATCATAATCAGACCACAGTCATTCACTCATCAGACTCTCTGACGTTCATAAATCATAATCAGACCACAGTCATTCACTCATCAGACTCTCTGACGGTCATAAATCATAATCAGACCACAGTCACTCACTCATCAGACTCTGTGACGGTCATAAATCATAATCAGACCACAGTCATTCACACATCAGACTCTCTGACGGTCATGAATCATAATCAGACCACAGTCATTCACACATCAGACTCTCTGACGGTCATAAATCATAATCAGACCACAGTCATTCACTCATCAGACTCTCTGACGGTCATAAATCATAATCAGACCACAGTCATTCACTCATCAGACTCTCTGACGTTCATAAATCATAATCAGACCACAGTCATTCACTCATCAGACTCTCTGACGGTCATAAATCATAATCAGACTACAGTCATTCACTCATCAGACTCTCTGACGGTCATAAATCATAATCAGACTACAGTCATTCACTCATCAGACTCTCTGACGGTCATAAATCATAATCAGACCACAGTCATTCACTCATCAGACTCTCTGACGTTCATAAATCATAATCAGACCACAGTCATTCACTCATCGGACTCTCTGACGGTCATAAATCATAATCAGACCACAGTCATTCACTCATCAGACTCTCTGACGGTCATAAATCATAATCAGACTACAGTCATTCACTCATCAGACTCTCTGACGGTCATAAATCATAATCAGACCACAGTCATACACTCATTAGACTCTCTGACGTTCATAAATCATAATCAGACCACAGTCATTCACTCATCAGACTCTCTGACGTTCATAAATCATAATCAGACCACAGTCATTCACTCATCAGACTCTCTGACGGTCATAAATCATAATCAGACCACAGTCACTCACTCATCGGACTCTGTGACGGTCATAAATCATAATCATACCACAGTCATTCACTCATCAGACTCTCTGACGTTCATAAATCATAATCAGACCACAGTCATTCACTCATCAGACTCTCTGACGGTCATAAATCATAATCAGACCACAGTCATTCACTCATCAGACTCTCTGACGGTCATAAATCATAATCAGACCACAGTCATTCACTCATCAGACTCTCTGACGTTCATAAATCATAATCAGACCACAGTCATTCACTCATCAGACTCTCTGACGGTCATAAATCATAATCAGACCACAGTCATTCACTCATCAGACTCTCTGACGTTCATAAATCATAATCAGACCACAGTCATTCACTCATCAGACTCTCTGAAGTTCATAAATCATAATCAGACCACAGTCATTCACTCATCAGACTCTCTGACGGTCATAAATCATAATCAGACCACAGTCACTCACTCATCAGACTCTGTGACGGTCATAAATCATAATCATACCACAGTCATTCACTCATCAGACTCTCTGACGTTCATAAATCATAATCAGACCACAGTCATTCACTCATCAGACTCTCTGACGGTCATAAATCATAATCAGACCACAGTCACTCACTCATCAGACTCTGTGATGGTCATAAATCATAATCAGACCACAGTCATTCACTCATCAGACTCTCTGACATTCATAAATCATAATCAGACCACAGTCATTCACTCATCAGACTCTCTGACGTTCATAAATCATTATCAGACCACAGTCATTCACTCATCAGACTCTCTGACGTTCATAAATCATAATCAGACCACAGTCATTCACTCATCAGACTCTCTGACGTTCATAAATCATAATCAGACCACAGTCATTCACTCATCTCTGACGGTCATAAATCATAATCAGACCACAGTCATTCACTCATCAGACTCTCTGACGTTCATAAATCATAATCAGACCACAGTCACTCACTCATCAGACTCTCTGACGGTCATAAATCATAATCAGACCACAGTCATTCACTCATCAGACTCTCTGACGGTCATAAATCATAATCAGACCACAGTCACTCACTCATCAGACTCTCTGACGGTCATAAATCATAATCAGACCACAGTCATTCACTCATCAGACTCTCTGACGGTCATAAATCATAATCAGACCACAGTCACTCACTCATCAGACTCTCTGACGTTCATAAATCATAATCAGACCACAGTCATTCACTCATCAGACTCTCTGACGGTCATAAATCATAATCAGACCACAGTCATTCACTCATCAGACTCTCTGACGTTCATAAATCATAATCAGACCACAGTCACTCACTCATCAGACTCTCTGACGGTCATAAATCATAATCAGACCACAGTCACTCACTCATCAGACTCTCTGACGGTCATAAATCATAATCAGACCACAGTCATTCACTCATCAGACTCTCTGACGTTCATAAATCATAATCAGACCACAGTCACTCACTCATCAGACTCTCTGACGGTCATAAATCATAATCAGACCACAGTCATTCACTCATCAGACTCTCTGACGTTCATAAATCATAATCAGACCACAGTCACTCACTCATCAGACTCTCTGACGTTCATAAATCATAATCAGACCACAGTCATTCACTCATCAGACTCTCTGACGGTCATAAATCATAATCAGACCACAGTCATTCACTCATCAGACTCTCTGACGTTCATAAATCATAATCAGACCACAGTCATTCACTCATCAGACTCTCTGACGTTCATAAATCATAATCAGACCACAGTCACTCACTCATCAGACTCTCTGACGTTCATAAATCATAATCAGACCACAGTCACTCACTCATCAGACTCTGTGACGGTCATAAATCATAATCAGACCACAGTCATTCACTCATCAGACTCTCTGACGGTCATGAATCATAATCAGACCACAGTCATTCACTCATCAGACTCTCTGACGGTCATAAATCATAATCAGACCACAGTCATTCACTCATCAGACTCTCTGACGTTCATAAATCATAATCAGACCACAGTCACTCACTCATCGGACTCTGTGACGGTCATAAATCATAATCAGACCACAGTCATTCACTCATCAGACTCTCTGACGGTCATAAATCATAATCAGACCACAGTCATTCACTCATCAGACTCTCTGACGTTCATAAATCATAATCAGACCACAGTCACTCACTCATCAGACTCTGTGACGGTCATAAATCATAATCAGACCACAGTCACTCACTCATCAGACTCTCTGACGGTCATAAATCATAATCAGACCACAGTCATTCACTCATCAGACTCTCTGACGTTCATAAATCATAATCAGACCACAGTCATTCACTCATCAGACTCTCTGACGTTCATAAATCATAATCAGACCACAGTCACTCACTCATCAGACTCTCTGACGTTCATAAATCATAATCAGACCACAGTCACTCACTCATCAGACTCTGTGACGGTCATAAATCATAATCAGACCACAGTCACTCACTCATCAGACTCTCTGACGGTCATAAATCATAATCAGACCACAGTCATTCACTCATCAGACTCTGTGACGGTCATAAATCATAATCAGACCACAGTCATTCACTCATCAGACTCTGTGACGGTCATAAATCATAATCAGACCACAGTCACTCACTCATCAGACTCTCTGACGTTCATAAATCATAATCAGACCACAGTCACTCACTCATCAGACTCTCTGACGGTCATAAATCATAATCAGACCACAGTCATTCACTCATCAGACTCTGTGACGGTCATAAATCATAATCAGACCACAGTCACTCACTCATCAGACTCTGTGACGGTCATAAATCATAATCAGACCACAGTCACTCACTCATCAGACACTCTGACGTTCATAAATCATAATCAGACCACAGTCATTCACTCATCAGACTCTCTGACGGTCATAAATCATAATCAGACCACAGTCATTCACTCATCTCTGACGGTTATAAATCATAATCAGACCACAGTCATTCACTCATCAGACTCTCTGACGGTCATAAACTCACTGTACCTGATAAATGTCTCCGTCTTGTTTCTGAAAAACACAATAGGACAGTGAGATTGTGAGAACAGTCTTGCTCAAAGCTGTGGTGTTTCCTCTTTCTGTTCCTCTTTGCTTTTCTCAATCATGAGTCAGAAGATGAGAGGATGAATATGAAAGAGAGATGCTGCGCTAACATACGGAAGCCCATTAACACCCTATCACAGACACGTCATGCTTTTATGACCTAAAAACTCACAATTATGAATAAAAACCCTCACAATTGGGGACACTTAGTATTCAACAATATTATTGATCTGCCTGCATTGACACCATTATATGAACTGAACTGAGCTGGACGATGACATCACGGCTCCCTTTCGAGGGAACGAGACACTGCGTCGATACGACACTTCAGGGAACGGCCGTAGCGCAACGCATCTGACGTACGACCGAAACTAATCCAGTCCTGGTTGGTGCCGCAAACCCAATTATGACATAAAATGTCGAAATTAAAATTATGACAAATCAAAACTGACATTAAGTCATAATTATGACATGTCAGATTTGAATTTGTACCTTTTTTCATAATTATGAGATTAAACAGGCAAAATTAGTTGAAAAGTTGAAATTTTGACTTTCAAAATTCAGTCAATTTCAACTTTTGATGTGATAATTTTAAGTTTTAATCTTTTTAATATGAATTAGTATGTCGTAATTTTGACTTTTGTAAAAATATTATCAAAAATTTTGACATGTCATGAGATAAAAGTCATGAATTAAAAAGTTATGACTGAGTCATGAGTTTACAAGAAGTAATTTCAACTTTTCAAATCAGGATGTTGACTTTTTATGTCATAATCTAAACTGTTGATGTAATAATTGACTTTTGTCATAATTTAAACTTTTTTTCATAATTTTGAGTTTCCATCTCATTTCTCATCTCAAGTTTTGACTTTTTTATGTCATTACGAGATTATAAGTCGAAATGAGCTAAAAAGGTGAAATCTTTCCATGAATGAGTCATTTCAACTTCTTAATGTCACAATTTTGGCTTTTCATTTCATAAACATGAATATATTGACTTTTTATGTCATACAGTTTTTTACAATCACTTTGCCACTATTTTCAGAACCTTGATGTCATTTTTAGACACAAAACTCACAGCCGTTATCACTTGTAACACAGGCTGTCTAATGTTCAAAAAATTGCATTGTGCATTCACATCTTTAAAGAAATCTTGCACTTGCACAATCATTGGTTCAAAAAGCAAATTTACTGTGAAATACCATTGAAACACAGCTATAGATCACCCACACACAAACAATTGTAGAACACAAAAGGTGATCCAGGTTTCATTATGGTCTGCATGTACAGTAAACACATCTCTGTGAACGCACTGCAGTCGTAGAGAGAATACACACATAGTGGAATCACTGAACAAAGTGTGTAATATATTGATGCAAAACACTACAGCAATCACAACACAGGTTTATTGGAATCAAAGCAAAAATATTAAATATTACAGTAGGCTATATCCATGGAAATTGTAGTCTAATTGGTTCATGCTCCACGCTAATTGGTGACAATGAATCTCGTTATCTTGAAACTGTCATGATTTACTGTAAACATGGAAGATTGTGTGTGTGTTTCCATATTAAGACTAGAGTAACGCAACAGTTACTTGTCATGTTGAGCAGTTGTGTCAGTGGATAGTTCGATCACTGTAAGGAAGTGAATAGACACTCGTTTGAAATGTAATGTGTGAATTGCCTTTAGAAATAGTAGTACTGTGATGTTAAGTTGTGTCATATTGAACAGGTGATTTGTGTTGAATGAACAAATGATCTAAGTTTTATGTGTAGTGTATCCAAGCAATTGAGAAAAGGGTTCGAGTTTTGAAAAATGTACATTTTGATCATTGGTTGTGAGTTTTGTGTCTAGAGTTGTGAAAAATGACATCAAGGTTATGAAAATAGTAACACCCTGATTGTAAAAAACTGTAATGATGATTTAGAAACGCATGTTTTCCCGAATGTGTCAGAACTGGGCTTCCGTACTGTCGTCTGGCAGACTGAGCGCTCGCTCGTGTACAGGTTTGGGTTTTCACAGATTCACTTACAGTTTTTTACAGTCGCTAGGACACATTTCTCAATACTTAGGTCACTTTTTCAAACCTCTTCACACAGTTCTCTTACCCAGCGTTCAGCTCGGCACAGCAGTTCATTTCACTTTCAAAATGCACTAAAACTACAGAATCACTTCAACTCAGATCAACACACTCTTCCAGAACACTAGCAAAGGTTGACAGCCGACACACACACTTTGTCACCCACAAAACAATGAGCTAAAAAACACTAACAACAGGAAACTTTATACACTGTTTTCCTCTGTAAATGCCTTCTTTCTTCTACCTCTCTACTGTTTAGAAATCACTGCAATATATGTGACTGGAATGAGTTAGACATGATGCAGATGCTTCAATACGACATATATTTTATGTTTTTGGATTAATTCCAAAGTACAAAAATGTGTATACACACCATCCACTGATTCAGACACAATAGGAATCAGCTGTGGTTGGTCCAAATGTCCAATTGTTTTTATACCATTTCATTTTTAGATTTGAAATATATTTCATTACAATATTACTGTAGAAATGTGGCAAAATGCTGTCTTATTTAGTTTTGTATTATGTTATTGTTTTGAACATAAGTTTAACAGTTCTGAGATCAGTAAGCATGTGCAGATTGACCTGTAGGAACACAGAGTTTTGGCGGTTGTTGTGTCGAAGTGAGAAAAGAATTAATGTAATTTGAAAGATGGCGTCATTGAACGCATTTTGTGCCAAAGCACTGATAAATGATCCACAGTTTAGCCCACATACACTTCTGTTGTGCTCACTGTGTGAAGAAGAGGTTTGAAAAAGTGACCTAAGGATTGAGAAATGTGTCCTAGCGATCGTGACAAAAGAAACTGTGGGTTTGTGACTGTGTGTGTGTGTGTGTGTGTGTGTGAGTGTGTGAGTTCCTGTTGACATCATTGTAAAGTTACTAATAGTCAGTGGAATATCTAAAGTGAATTATCGAAATACAGTAACAATACAAATAATAGAGTCTGTGGCATGACCTCATTTAGTGTGTGTTTGTGAATGTGTGTGTGTGTGTGTGTGTGTTTGTGACTGTATGTGTTTTTGTGTGTGTGACTTTGTCTGTCTGTCTGTGTGTGTGTGTGTGTGTGTGTGTGTGTGTGTGTGTGACTGTGTGTGTGACTGTGTGTGTGTGTGGGTGTGTGTGTGTGTGTGTTGTCAGAGGAAGACCAGAGTTGTGTGTAGATTCAGCAGAAAGAGAGCGACCACAGACGCACACACACACACACACACACACACACACTCACACACACACTCACCTCAGAGAAACTGTGAGACGAAATCATCTGTGAACGACAACAATCAACATCATTACATTCATCAAACATCAGTTCCACATCAAACTCATATTCAGATATTCATAAGGACTGGCGGTACAATCAGATATTTTCATTTAATCCTGCAAACAAAGATTTGAGATTTTAAGAGTAAAAAAGTCAAAGAAATGAGCAGATGAACGAGATGTTGATTCTCACACAACTGCACTTATTAACTAAACTTAAACTGAATATGAATAGTTTGTAGGAAAGTTTGTTATCTTTGAATATCTGCGTGTCAAACCGTCTAAAAATTGGTATTGTATTTTTATGAGGTTTTTATTGACATTTATGATTGATGTACGCGTGAGCGAATCTGAAGACATTCACTTTAATATTCAGAGTTTGCAGATTATGTTTAACTAGCTTTCATGCTAAATATTGAAAAATTACCTGTTCTAATGTTCAGTTTTGTTTTCATTTCTGTACGTTTAATTAATGTAGAAGTTAATAGATCAATGAATAAATAAATAATTATTTTACAGATACAAAAACTGTAATTAGATTAATATTACTACACTTTCAAAACAATCAATCAAACAAACAAACAAAAAATTTGTTAAAATACAGTGAGTTTGTGTTTAAAAAAAAGAACAAATATCGGCCAATGGAGTCAGAAAAATAAACTTCATTAAAAGTGAAAACAATATTATTTTTCTGACTCCATTGGCCGATATTTGTTCTTTTTTTAAACACATACTCACTGTATTTTAACACATTTTTCAGTAAACAAGACTCAATATCTTCTCCAGTAAATGTCTCTTGATTTAAGAATGTTTAGATATTTGTGCTGGAAAACGAGACAGAAGTGGGGTTTTTTTGTATTTGAAGGAAGAACATCATATTTTGCAGTGTGTGTAAATATAACATATTGTATAGTCTCCATAAATGTCATTTAATTTAGAAGATGGGTGTAAAATAACATGAATGTTGTGATGATCCAGAATCTGAAGATGTGTGTGTGTGTGTGTGTGTGTTTCACCTTTAATCTGCAGTAAAGCGCGGTCAAAACCACGCCGTAAACGATCAGAATCCCGTCCAGAATATAACACACATTTCCTCCATTGTCCGATTGGGCGGCTGACAAACAACACAATATTTTACACACAAAAACAGGATCATAATAAAAGTAAATAAATAATTAATAATCACACACATATATCTTTAATGTTAAATGTTTAAAGCATTATTTGTAATGCTAAAAGCTATTTTAAATGTTTAAAACTTTAAAGCAATATATTATAATGTTTAAATATTTAAAACAATTATTAATATATTACAATGTTTAAAGCGAAATTGTTTTTATAATATATTTAGATGTTTAAAGCTGATCTTTACAACGGAAGTGAATCAATCAAAACTAACTTTAACTGGACAATAACTTTACTCTAGAGCTGCTGTAAAGACTAAACAATCTCTGTTACTGTAATGTCCTGTTATCACTGTAAAGCTGCTGTGAAACTCTATATTGGTAAAGCGCTGTATAAATGAAGATGACTTTAAAGCAACGTATATTTTTTACCCAATAAAGGGAATCCAGTTGTAAATTAATTCAGTCAAATTACGTAAATCAAGTCATATAAAATAAACCTAACATTTTAATTAAATGCAGGTTATTGCAACATGATTCAGTATTTGTTTAACGGGGAGCAAAAAGATTTAATTTTTTTATTTAAAACAATATTTTAGTGTTGTCCAGAGGAAAGTGCCGGTCAGGAGGGGTCGTGTTCTCGGTACCGAGAGATTTGCTGATGATCTTACCGACTCGTCCAGCGTTGAGCAGGAGAAACAGACAGAAGTCCAGCGGCCGCATCTTCCTCCGAGAGACGAGACGAAGAGAAGAGAAGTGTGAAGAGGAAGAGTGACTGTGACAGAGACATAAGTGTAATTTAACAGGAAACTGTGGGCAGAAACAAACTGTCCGTTCAGAGACACCCAAAATACACTCTTACACACACACACACACACACACGCAATTTCACAACTGCATCCTTTTTTTCTCTTCTTTTTCCACTCATGCACTTACAACAATAAAGACCAGAGCTCGACTCCTTCCTGTTTCTCAGAGAAGCGAGGATCGTTGAAGACGCGAGACTGGAAAACAGCTTCTGATTTCTGCCGGAATCACGTTTAATATCATATATTTCTCTCCAACACGTCCTCAGTGCAGAAAGTCATCAGTGTTTCTGTCTCGTTTTACGGCACAAATATCTAAACATTCTTAAATCAAGAGACATTTACTGGAGAAGAAGCAAAATGACTGAAGATATTAAGTCTAAAATGTATGAAAATGAAAACAAGAACAAATATCTGACAATGGAGTCAGAAAAATAAACTTAATTGTGAAAAATTTGTGTCAGTTCCCACCTGAGATCACAACAATATAGAGTTTCACAGCAGCTTTACTGTGATAACAGGAGATTACAGTAACAGAGAGTGTTTAGGCTTTACAGCAGCTCTAGAGTAAAGTTATTGTCCAGATAAAGTTAGTTTTGATTGATTCACTTCCGTTGCAAAGCAAATCTTTCAATTCCTTATAATCCCCCTAGAGCATTGCGTTCAGAACATCAAAAACTTCTTGTCGTAACGACGACTAAACGCCTTAAAAAGGTGATCACGCTTTTGCAGTTACGGGACGGAGATTACGGAATGAACGCCTCCATCTATCAGATCTGCTAAACCCTTATCAGTATTCAGGAACTTGCTCAAGGCGCATTTATCATTGGCCGCTTATAACAGGTAATCTCAATGTGGCATATGTGGTGTCTGTGATGTGAGGTTTGTTACTATGTATTTTTTATTCTTTTTATTTTTATGTAAAGCACTTTGGTCAACCTCGGTTGTTTTTTTTAGCAGTGCTATATAAATAAACTTAGTGGTCGCTTACACAACACCATTTTAATTGAAAACAGAAAACTTTTGATGTGTTCTGGCCGTTCATTTCCATGACAGCAGTGTTTGGTGGCAGTGTTTGGTGGCGGTGTTTGGAGGCAGTGTTTGGTGGCAGTGTTTGGTGGCGGTGTTTGGAGGCGGTGTTTGGTGGCAGTGTTTGGTGGCGGTGTTTGGAGGCGGTGTTTGGAGGCAGTGTTTGGTGGCAGTGTTTGGTGGCAGTGTTTGGTGGCGGTGTTTGGAGGCGGTGTTTGGAGGCAGTGTTTGGTGGCAGTGTTTGGTGGCAGTGTTTGGAGGCGGCGTTTGGAGGCGGTGTTTGGAGGCGGTGTTTGGAGGCGGCGTTTGGAGGCGGTGTTTGGAGGCGGTGTTTGGTGGCAGTGTTTGGAGGCAGTGTTTGGAGGCGGTGTTTGGTGACAGTGTTTGGTGGCGGTGTTTGGTGGCAGTGTTTGGTGACAGTGTTTGGTGGCAGTGTTTGGACGCAGTGTTTGGTGGAGGTGTTTGGAGGCAGTGTTTGGTGGCAGTGTTTGGAGGCAGTGTTTGGAGGCAGTGTTTGGTGGCAGTGTTTGGAGGCGGCGTTTGGAGGTGGTGTTTGGAGGCGGTGTTTGGAGGCAGTGTTTGGTGGCAGTGTTTGGAGGCGGTGTTTGGAGGCAGTGTTTGGTGACAGTGTTTGGTGGCAGTGTTTGGTGGCAGTGTTTGGTGGAGGTGTTTGGAGGCAGTGTTTGGTGGCAGTGTTTGGAGGCAGTGTTTGGAGGCGGTGTTTGGAGGCAGTGTTTGGTGGCAGTGTTTGGTGGCAGTGTTTGGAGGCGGTGTTTGGTGGCAGTGTTTGGTGGCAGTGTTTGGACGCAGTGTTTGGTGTCAGTGTTTGGTGTCAGTGTTTGGAGGCGGTGTTTGGTGGCAGTGTTTGGTGGCAGTGTTTGGAGGTGGTGTTTGGAGGCAGTGTTTGGTGACAGTGTTTGGTGGCAGTGTTTGGTGGCAGTGTTTGGAGGCAGTGTTTGGTGGCAGTGTTTGGAGGCGGCGTTTGGAGGCGGTGTTTGGAGGCGGTGTTTGGAGGCAGTGTTTGGTGGCAGTGTTTGGAGGCAGTGTTTGGAGGCGGCGTTTGGAGGCGGCGTTTGGAGGCAGTGTTTGGTGACAGTGTTTGGAGGCGGTGTTTGGTGGCAGTGTTTGGAGGCGGTGTTTGGAGGCAGTGTTTGGTGACAGTGTTTGGAGGCGGTGTTTGGTGACAGTGTTTGGTGGCGGTGTTTGGTGGCAGTGTTTGGTGACAGTGTTTGGTGGCAGTGTTTGGACGCAGTGTTTGGTGGAGGTGTTTGGAGGCAGTGTTTGGTGGCAGTGTTTGGAGGCAGTGTTTGGAGGCAGTGTTTGGTGGCAGTGTTTGGAGGCGGCGTTTGGAGGCGGTGTTTGGAGGCGGCGTTTGGAGGCGGCGTTTGGAGGCGGCATTTGGAGGCAGTGTTTGGTGGCAGTGTTTGGAGGCGGTGTTTGGAGGCGGTGTTTGGTGACAGTGTTTGGAGGCGGTGTTTGGTGGCAGTGTTTGGAGGCGGTGTTTGGAGGCAGTGTTTGGTGACAGTGTTTGGTGACAGTGTTTGGTGGCAGTGTTTGGAGGCGGTGTTTGGTGGCAGTGTTTGGAGGCAGTGTTTGGAGGCGGTGTTTGGTGACAGTGTTTGGTGGCGGTGTTTGGTGGCAGTGTTTGGTGACAGTGTTTGGTGGCAGTGTTTGGACGCAGTGTTTGGTGGAGGTGTTTGGAGGCAGTGTTTGGTGGCAGTGTTTGGAGGCAGTGTTTGGTGGCAGTGTTTGGAGGCGGCGTTTGGAGGCGGTGTTTGGAGGCGGCGTTTGGAGGCGGCGTTTGGAGGCGGCATTTGGAGGCAGTGTTTGGTGGCAGTGTTTGGAGGCGGTGTTTGGAGGCGGTGTTTGGTGACGGTGTTTGGTGGCAGTGTTTGGACGCAGTGTTTGGACGCAGTGTTTGGTGGAGGTGTTTGGAGGCAGTGTTTGGTGGCAGTGTTTGGAGGCAGTGTTTGGAGGCGGTGTTTGGAGGCAGTGTTTGGTGGCAGTGTTTGGTGGCAGTGTTTGGAGGCGGTGTTTGGTGGCAGTGTTTGGTGGCAGTGTTTGGACGCAGTGTTTGGTGTCAGTGTTTGGTGGCAGTGTTTGGAGGCGGTGTTTGGTGGCAGTGTTTGGAGGCGGTGTTTGGAGGCAGTGTTTGGTGACAGTGTTTGGAGGCGGTGTTTGGTGGCAGTGTTTGGAGGCGGTGTTTGGAGGCAGTGTTTGGTGACAGTGTTTGGTGGCAGTGTTTGGACGCAGTGTTTGGTGGAGGTGTTTGGAGGCAGTGTTTGGTGGCAGTGTTTGGAGGCGGTGTTTGGAGGCAGTGTTTGGTGGCAGTGTTTGGTGGTAGTGTTTGGAGGCAGTGTTTGGAGGCGGTGTTTGGAGGCGGTGTTTGGTGGCAGTGTTTGCTGGCAGTGTTTGGTGGCAGTGTTTGGTGGCGGTGTTTGGTGGCAGTGTTTGGTGGCAGTGTTTGGAGGCAGTGTTTGGAGGCAGTGTTTGGTGGCAGTGTTTGGAGAGAGTGTTTGGTGGCAGTGTTTGGAGGCAGTGTTTGGAGGCAGTGTTTGGAGGCAGTGTTTGGTGGCAGTGTTTGGAGGCGGTGTTTGGAGGCGGTGTTTGGAGGCGGTGTTTGGAGGCGGTGTTTGGAGGCAATGTTTAGACGCAGTGTTTGGTGGACGCAGTGTTTGGTGGCGGTGTTTGGTGACAGTGTTTGGAGGCGGTGTTTGGTGACAGTGTTTGGAGGCGGTGTTTGGTGGCAGTGTTTGGAGGCAGTGTTTGGTGGCAGTGTATGGAGGCCGTGTTTGGTGGCAGTGTTTGGTGGCAGTGTTTGGTGGCAGTGTATGGTGGCAGTGTATGGAGGCCGTGTTTGGTGGCAGTGTTTGGTGGCAGTGTTTGGTGGCAGTGTTTGGTGGCAGTGTATGGAGGCCGTGTTTGGTGGCAGTGTTTGGTGGCAGTGTTTGGAGGCAGTGTTTGGTGGCAGTGTATGGAGGCCGTGTTTGGTGGCAGTGTTTGGTGGCAGTGTATGGAGGCCGTGTTTGGTGGCAGTGTTTGGAGGCAGTGTTTACAATGTTTATTTCAATAATAATAACTTCATACTGTAAGCAATCAAAGCCAAATGAAACTTTGGAAAAGAAAGTCATGTTTATTCAGGTTCTCAAGGCATCAGTTTCTTAGAGAAAAATAATGACATCATTAATCAATCAGCTTTCATTCAATTAAAGTCAACAAACAAATGCTGCATGTCAGTGTTAATTTGGTTTTACAAAGCTCAGTGGAAACATGAGCGATTCACTGTGGACAGTCTGTGTTTGGGGATTAATTGTCGTTACAGTCATCAACGAATAGATCGCAGTCCTGCACGGACAGGTTTACATTCCCAAATAAAAAGATTCACATCAAAATGAAGTTTGAACTAAACTCAGTAAGCTATTGCACAAACTCACTGCATTCATGTTAACACACACATACACACACACTCTATTCTCAACTTTAAAATCAGTTTTTTTTGTGCCCGTACATGTCATAATCAGAAAAAAAAAACAAAAAAACAAAAAAAACAACAACAATATGAACAACTTTCCAGGAGACCAGACCAGTTCAGCCCAGCCCAGTTAAAACCAGTGCGGCACAATCCTGTCAGGTTAGAATAAATTACTCTTGAACTGAAGTGTTTCTGTGCTGAAGGGAATAAGATTCTGTTCAGGAGGTGGTTGTGGGCGGGGCTAAAAAGAAGCTCCGCCTTCAAGTTGATGAGATTCTGTTCAGTAGGTGGTTGTGGGCGTGTTATGGGCGGGGCTAAACAGAAGCTCCGCCTTCGAGTTGAGATTCTGTTCAGGAGGTGGTTGTGGGCGTTTCATGGGCGGAGCTAAACAGAGCTCCGCCTTCGAGTTGATGAGATTCTGTTCAGGAGGTGGTTGTGGGCGTGTTATGGGCGGTGCTAAACAGAAGCTCCGCCTTCGAGTTGAGATTCTGTTCAGGAGGTGGTTGTGGGCGTTTCATGGGCGGAGTTAAACAGAAGCACAGTCTTCGAGCGGATGATATTCTGCTCAGTAGGTGGTTGTGGGCGTTTCACGGGCGGAGCTAAACAGAAGCTCCGCCTTCGAGCTGATGAAGTACGTCACCAATAGAGACAGCAGCAGCACAGCCACGCCCACTCCGAGTGTTAACATCTGCCAGAGACACACACAGAAAACAAACTCATGTGATAAATAAATCACATCAAAGCAAATCATAAATCTAGATGATTATAGATCAGATAAATGCAGTGTTATGTATAACTCATTACAAGTAACTTGAGTTACGTAATCAGATTACTTTTACAAGTAACTAGTAAAGTAACGCATTCGTTTTTCAATTTACAACAAAATATCTACGTTACTTTTTCAAATAAGTAACGCTAGTTATTTTTCACTTCATTGATTGACAGCTCTCTTGTTGAGAGAAATAAAGTGAGGAGGTGTGTGTGTGAACATGATGGTTATTTTAGTTCTAGACTAAATGTGAACATGCATTTACTCGTCTCCCTTGCATGTGAACGTAGCCAGTGACTAATGCGAGGAGGATTACCTCGAGTTCTCGGCTGGCCACGAGGAAGACTCGCGCTCGGATGCTCTTCCAGCGAGACTCGGTCCATGTGGAGTAATTCCGGGAGCCGTACTCCATGCGCTCGAAGGCGGGAGACACGGCTTTAGCCAGACGCACCGACGCCCTCACGCAGAACGGCTCTCCACTGCTGTTCACCCACGGCCCCGACACCCAGAAATACGAGAACAACTGAGAACACAAACAGGGAACATGAGCGCTGGGCATTCTGGGAATACATTACTTTCTGCACTTTTAATTTGTCCACCACCTCCACTGCAAAAAAAAAAGAACTTTCTTATTTTGTGATTTTGAACAAAATTATTTAGACGACAACAATTGAGCATTTTTAAGTTTTTAGAAAATTATATATTATGGAACATAATTATATAAATACTTAGATGACAATAATTAAACATTTTTAAGTTTTTAACACTATATATAATTGAACAATTATAATTAAGATCAAAATAATTGAACATTTTCAAGTTTTTAACATTATATATAATGGAACATAATTATGTAATTATTTAGATGACAAATAATTGAACATAATTATATAAATATTTAAGTTTTTAACACTATATATAATTGAACAATTATAATTAAGATCAAAATAATTGAACATTTTCAAGTTTTTTACATATAATTGAACATAATTATATAAATATTTAAGTTTTTAACACTATATGTAATTGAACAATTATAATTAAGATCAAAATAATTGAACATTTTCAAGTTTTTAACACTATCTATGATTGAACATAATTATATAAATATTTAGATGACAATAATTGAACATTTGTAAGTTTTTAACATTATATATAATGGAACAATTATATAAATATTTAGATGACAATAATTGAACATTTGTAAGTTTTTAACATTATATATAATGGAACATAATTATATAATTATTTAGATGACAATAATTGAACATTTTCAAGTTTTTAACATATAATTGAACATAATTATATAAATATTTAAGTTTTAAGTTTTTAACACTATATATAATTATACAATTATAATTAAGATCAAAATAATGGAACATTTTCAAGTTTTTAACACTATCTATGATTGAACATAATTATATAATTATTCAGATGACAATAATGGAACATTTTCAAGTTTTTAACATATAATTGAACATAATTATATAAATATTTAGATGACAATTGAACATTTTTAAGTTTTTAACATTATAGTTATATTATTATTTAGATGACAGTAATCAAACATTTTAGTTTTTAACATTATAATTGAACAATTATAATTATTTAGCTGACAATAATTGAACATTTTCAAGTTTTTAACATTATAATTGAACAATTATAATTATTTAGCTGACAATAATTGAACATTTTCAAGTTTTTAACATTATAATTGAACAATTATAATTATTTAGCTGACAATAATTGAACATTTTCAAGTTTTTAACATTATAATTGAACAATTATTATTATTTAGCTGACAATAATTGAACATTTTCAAGTTTTTAACATTATAATTGAACAATTATAATTATTTAGCTGACAATAATTGAACATTTTCAAGTTTTTAACATTATAATTGAACAATTGTAATTATTTAGCTGACAATAATTGAACATTTTCAAGTTTTTAACATTATAATTGAACAATTATAATTATTTAGCTGACAATAATTGAACATGTTCAAGTTTTTAACATTATAATTGAACAATTGAATATCATTTCGCAGGGTTGATTATCCGACATGCGCAGTGTGCCGAGCTGCGATGCTTACGTCCTTGCTCTCGGGGCTCAGGCACTGGGTCTCGGTGAGGTTGGTGACGCTGCCGGTCAGGTTGGCCATGATGTACTGAACGAAGCGGGTCACGCTGTGCACGGGGCCGATGTTGCGCGGACCCACACCGATGTAGAACTGAGGAGGACCGGAGCCTGCACACAACAGGAGAGCAGTCAGATACACACCAGCTGAAGATCTACAGCAAGAACCACTGCAGATGAACACAGCCAGGGTTTGAAATCAACACACGCCACATGTGTGTATAAATCAGTTTATCTTTACTCACTTTACTGGGGAAGGCAAATCTGCGCAGATTTAGTGCAAATACTCGCGAGTCATTATAATATATTAAATACAGTGTATTGCGCAGAATCTGCTCATATCTGGCGTACTTGAACACACACACGTCACTACGCCACAGATAACGGCGCTTGTTCATGTGCATTAAAGCAGTAGCGAAGATTAAGAAGCATTCGGTGAACAGAAAAGACATTGTTATTGTCCAACATCCAATGTTTTGATGTTCTGTGTACTGTATTGATCCGTCCTCATAAAACACATGTTTGGGGAAATGTATATATAAGTTGTCAAGTCAGAGTCAAGTCAGATTTATTTATAAAGCACATTTAAAAACAACTTCCGCTGACCAAAGTGCTGTACATATGGATCAGTTAGTCAGAGTACAATTACAAAATAACAAAATACAATAGAACATTACGTACAAATAAAGTATAAAACATACAGTAGTGGAACGGCCAATGTAACCTGCCTATTCAGTGTTAAAAGCTATGTAAAAAAGGTGTGTTTTTAGCCTGCTTTTAAATTGATCTACGGATTCTGCAGATCTAACAGAAAGTTGTGACGTAGTTAATCTGGCAATTTAAAAATTAAGCCGGTAATTTACTTAATAATCAGCTAATAAGCGACTCTCACTGAACGCTGCTCTGACACACTGCTAAACAACATGACTGAGGACTCATGTGCAGTGTGTGTGTGTGTGTGAGGATAGAGTATACACCAGGACACACACTTAAGATGCTGTTGGCTCCTTTCTTCGTGACCTCGGGAGGAAGCAGGGACCGAAACCAGCTGTTGTTCTTCTGGATTAGAAACCCGTACAGCAACTGAGCGACCTGAGAAACAGACCGACATCACATCAACATCAACATCACCTGACAATCTGCTTTATTTAGAAGTTTTGAGGGATATTTGTTCTTGTTTTAAGCATGAACTTAAAAAGTTTCAAAGACTAAGTGCGAATTAAGACTTTTGTAAGAAACCCGGATCTAAAACTTTTATTACTTGGTACCTTCTAATTTGATTGACTTTTGTTAATGTTATATTCTATATTTATTGTTCTTGTCTTCATTCATTTTATGCAATAATGCTTCGACAATATTCTAAGTAACACAATCATGATCATACTTCACACTTTAAAACACTTGAAACAGAAACATTGTAAGAGTAGCTCAGCTGAACAGGGCGAGTCACATGTGATCATGTGAGAGTGAAGTGTGTGTGTGTGAGAGAGAGAGTGTGTGTCTGTGTGTGTGGTGTGTGTGTGTGAGAGAGAGATTGAGTGAGAGAATGTGTATGTGTGTGTGTGAGATTGAGAGAGAGTGTGTGTGTGTGTGTGTGTGTGTGTGAGAGAGAGATTGAGTGAGAGAATGTGTATGTGTGTGTGTGAGATTGAGAGAGAGTGTGTGTGTGTGTGTGTGTGTGTGTGTGAGAGAGAGTGTGTGTATGTGTGAGTGGAGTGAGTGAGTGAGTGAGTGAGTGAGTGAGTGAGATTGTGTGTGTGTGAGTGAGTGTGTGTGAGAGAGAGATTGAGTGAGAGAGTGTGTGAGTGTGTGAGTGTGTGAGTGTGTGAGTGTGTGAGTGTGTGAGTGAGTGAGTGAGGAGAGTGAGTGAGTGAGTGATGTGAGTGAGTGTGAGTGAGTGAGTGAGTGAGTGATGAGTGAGTTGAGTGAGTGAGTGTGAGTGAGTGAGTGAGTGAGTGGAGTGAGTGAGTGAGTTGTGTGAAGAGTGAGAGAGGAGGACGAAGAGAGAGAGAGAGTGAGTGAGTGAGTGAGTGTGTGTGAGTGTGTGTGTGAGGTCACGTGACTCACGATCTTGGGGTCAGTGGTGATGTTGTTCAGGTTTCTCTCTTCTCCTCCCGCCTGCTTGTAAAGTGAGCGAGCGACGAGAGTGGCGACTTCAGCCAGAGACTGTCAGAGAAGCAAAACATCCAGTAAACACACACTCCGTGTACGACAGATACAATCAGATTAACACAGAGGAGAACGAGCCTTTGCTGTTACAGGTTATAAATGTAAATTTCTATGATTTTATTTGTGAAATGAGTTTTTGACTGCTTTTGCTTGTGTTTCTTTTATCCGATGTTGTAAAGCACATTGGTCAGCTTCCCCCGGCTCGAACACCATCTGCTCCTCTGGACTGAGGTTGGGCACACACACACACCTCGCTCCACTCACTCACACACTGACTCACACACTGACTCACTCACTGACTCACTCACTGACTCACTCACTGACTCACTCACTGACTCACTCACTGACTCACTCACTGACTCACTCACTGACTCACTCACTGACTCACTCACTGACTCACTCACTCACTCACCACACCAACACACTCTCTCACACACACTCGCTCACTGACTCGCTCGCTCACTGACTGACTGACTCACTCACTCACTCACTGACTGACTCACTCACACACACACACTCTGTCACTCGCTCGCTCACACACTCTCTCACACACTCACTGACTCACTCACTGACTCACTCACTGACTCACTCACTGACTCACTCACTGACTCACTCACTGACTCACTCACTGACTCACTCACTCACTGACTCACTCACTGACTCACTCACTGACTCACTCACTCACTGACTCACTCACTCACTGACTCACTCACTCACTGACTCACTCACTCACTGACTCACTCACTCACTGACTCACTCACTCACTGACTCACTCACTCACTGACTCACTCACTCACTGACTCACTCACTCACTGACTCACTCACTCACTGACTCACTCACTCACTCACTGACTCACTCACTCACTCACTGACTCACTCACTCACTCACTGACTCACTCACTCACTGACTCACTCACTCACTGACTCACTCACTCACTGACTCACTGACTCACTCACACACACACACTCTGTCACTCGCTCGCTCACACACTCACTGACTGACTGACTGACTGACTGACTGACTGACTGACTGACTGACACACACACTCTTTCACACACACACTCTCTCACACACACACTCTCTCACACACTCTCTCACACACACACTCTCTCACACACACACACACACACACACACACACTGACTCACTCACTGACTCACTCACTGACTCACTCACTGACTCACTCACTGACTCACTCACTGACTCACTCACTCACTCACTCACTCACTCACTCACTCACTCACTCACTCACTCACTCACTCACTCACTCACTCACTCACTCACTCACTCACTCACTCACTCACTCACTGACTCACTGACTCACTCACTGACTCACTCACTGACTCACTCACTCACTGACTCACTCACACTCGCTCACTCACTGACTCACTGACTCACTCACACACACACTCACTGACTGACTGACTCACTGACTCACTGACTGACTCGCTCACTGACTGACTCACTGACTGACACACTCTCACACACACACACACTCGCTCGCTCGCTGACTCACTCACTCACTCACTCACTCACTCACTCACTCACTCACTCACTCCACACACACTCACTCACACACACACACACTCGCTCACTGACTCGCTCACTCACTCACTTACTCACTCACTCACTGACTCACTCACTCACTGACTCACTCACTCACTGACTCACTCACTCACTCACTTACTCACTCACTCACTGACTCACTCACTCACTGACTCACTCACTCACTGACTGACTCACTCACACTCTGTCACTCGCTCGCTCGCTCACACACTCACTGACTGACTGACTGACTGACTGACTGACTGACTGACTGACTGACTGACTGACTGACTGACTGACTGACTGACACACACTCTTTCACACACACACTCTCTCACACACACACTCTCTCACACACACACTCTCTCACACACACACTCTCTCACTCACTGACTCACTCACTCACTGACTGACTCACTCACTCACTGACTCACTCACTGACTCACTCACTGACTCACTCACTGACTCACTCACTGACTCACTCACTGACTCACTCACTGACTCACTCACTGACTCACTCACTGACTCACTCACTGACTCACTCACTGACTCACTCACTCACTCACTCACTCACACACACACACACTCTGTCACTCGCTCGCTCACACACTCACTGACTGACTGACTGACTGACTGACTGACTGACTGACACACACACTCTTTCACACACACTCTCTCACACACACACTCTCTCACACACACACTCTCTCACTGACTCACTGACTTCACTCACTGACTCACTCACTCACTCACACACACACACTCTGACACACACACACTCTGTCACTCGCTCGCTCACTCACTGACTGACTGACTGACTGACTGACTGACTGACTGACTGACTGACTGACTGATG